CATGTAAATGGGCAGCATGCTGGTAGCATGCTGGTAGTATGCTATCAAGCAATTGGGTATCAAACGTCTCCGCTGCGATCGAATGTGGCGGGATTCCTGGAGCATCACTTTGCAGGGTCCGAGATTTCTATCTCATCAAATCTCGTCGTCTCTGAGCCGGTGTTTTTTGGTGTTCTCCAACAATAGCCAGTTCGGATGGAGGTCCCTTCTGGCGCCCAAAAGGTCACGGTGCACAGGTGGTTTGGCTGCGATCCATTCGCACCTTCGTACGAGTCTTCAAGGTGATGTCGTAGAGGGTGCCTCGCCTCAGAACCAGCTCTGCTCCGTGGAGGTCGCGTCTTCAAAGAGAGGACTTGACGGGGGCAAATCGATCGGATGCATCAAACCAATCATCACTTTGGGGTGTGAAAACCATGGTTTCGTGATGTTTGTTTACGTTTCCTGTAGATTTTCCTTTGCGCAATACGTTGAATGGCCGGCCCAGCACACTGTCTTGCTGCATTCACGAGGGGGAACCCAGTATGTTCCTCCCTGGGAGGGCCAGTGTTTGACACAAAGTCACCCAACTTGGAACAATTTGATGCTTGTGTTGGTTCCTTGCGCCACAAATCCAAACAAAAACATTGACTTCTTCTGATATCGTTTATTTTCCTCACTTTTCCTCCAAAAGATCAAGTCTTTCAGGTCTTTGCTGCCAACCCTTCCCCTTGGCCGATCCTTTACCGAGCTGGCGCCCCGCCACCGAGCTCCCCGTTTCGGTCCGGTTCCGAGGAGCAAAATCGGCGAATTTCTGCCAGGTTGAGTAATGCAATTGTAGGCGTCCTCAGCGTGAAGATGTGTTTCTTTCCACCACAGCTCGAGTCAGTCGACTGACTCGAAAAAAAAATGAAGCAACAAAAGATGGAAAAACTGTCTACATTGAGGTGTTATTAGGCGTTCATGGGGAATGATTGCAATAAAATGGAGCTCGAGGCATCCCGAGGCTACGCCTATGCATGCTTGTTTACTGTGTAGTTAGATGCTCTCCTAGGCACAAGAAATCAAACACGTGTGAAGACTACCAGCTTCCCTTGAAGCAGTGCCGCTCCTAGTGCCCATTCATGACCTCCTGTCAAGCAAACAAAGACACAGCCGATAAAATTCACATGGATCCAGAAAACCTCCCCCTCGAAGACATGTTCTCTCTAGCTTTTTGGGGTCCATGTTTGTCTGCAGCATAGGTGCCCCAGGCAAGCGGATTGTTGCCAAACACAATCACCAGTGGTGATGTACTAGGTGACGGGCTGAGGGGAGATTTCTCTGCTGCGAACAGCTGAGCATCTCAGTGTCAGTATTCTTCCATCTATTTTTGACTAACCATGACTGACCTAAATTGACGGCAAGAACGACTCATACTGAAAATTGATGTTACGGTTGTGCCATCTACTTATATAATGAAGCTGAAGCTGGTGCAAGGGAGTACTGCTATATTATATACTAGTTGCTATACATGTTACTACAGTAGATGCTATAAGTTAGTCTAACTTGCTAGCCCCTTTCTCCTTCTTAAGCTATGCTTCACCCGTTGAGGCTTAGCCTCATCCCTGTCCCGAACGCCCTTCCGAACGCCCTGAGCGCTTCCAGAGCGCGGTGTGCGCTCGCTCTTCCGATCGATTCCCAGTTCGGCAACGGCCATCGATGTTCAAACAGCCAACCATGAGACTCCACGGGACGAGGTTTTTTGAGAGACCTACAGTTGGATGCATTTGGGGTTTGGATCCAAACGAGGTCAATGTAGGTGAATTGGTGTTCAAAATGAGGTCATATATGAGCGTGAACTATGCTCAGTTCCATGGGCCTGGGCAATCTGCAAACATCGCAAAGTCATCCTCACTTAGAGGTGACGTTTCGGGTTGCACATGACAAGCCCTGCCAACAACTAAAGGGTGCACTTTTGATGGTATGTATTGTTTTTTTTGTTTTTTTTTTTTTTTCGGTGATTTTTTTTGTCAAAATCATCCGGTTCACATGTCCTTGCTAATTATATACAACAATTGGGCGTCCTTAAAAGAGAAACAGCTGCCGTAGAGACTTGGAATAGTGCAGGTTTCATATTAATTGTAGCTAATTGCAGCAATTTGATGTCCTTAGCAGAGACACAGCTGTCGTAGCTGGCAAAATGCATTGGAATAGTCTAGGTGTCAAATTGGTTGCAGCTTAAAACATTTCACAAATTCAGCTTCGCGGGAAGCAAAACAACACAACCATCAAGCAAAATACAGAAAAGCACAACAACAGCAGCAAAAGCAAAAACACAAAAAACAAGAAACAACACACGGCTACAAAAGCCCAGGACAATGCAAAACGCTACAAAAACAAATGCAACACAGCAAACTAAATAGCAACAAAAGCCAAAAGCCAACAAAAGAACATACGACAAGCAAAACACATATCAAGCGCAACAAAAGACGACAGAAGCAAAAAACATAAGAGCAACAAAAAACAAACAATACGACAAAGGCAAACAAGTAGCAAAAAAAATAGACAAAGCAAAAAGCAGCAAATGTAAAAACAAAAAGCGAAAGGAAAACAGTTACCAAAGCAGAAAAGTAACAAAAGCAAAGAACATTTAAAAAAACAACGAACACATATGAAAAACATAACAGCGGAAAACACAGCAAACACAAACATAACTTAACAACAAAAGCAAAAAAAACACAAAAATAAAAAACAAACCGCATTAAAATACACATCCAAAAACACGAATCAAAAACAACAACAAACACATAATAACAGCAAAGACAAAACCATTTAACAACATATACTTAAAACAACCAAACACATATCAAACACTTTAAAACCGCCCCTCCAAAAATAAACTTAGGGATTGCACTTGATGCTTTCAACGCCAGGGGTAGCTTTCTTGACTCACCGATTCTCTGCTTCTCAAGTGTCTGGTCCAGGCTTCCCGTAGGACCTCGGCAGAGACGGAGGATCTTCGACTCTGAGGGAGGACTCGGGGCACCGGAATCAATCAACAGGGTCTCCAAGCTAATAGCTTTGGATGCGATGGCCTCCAACCTAATAGAGATGGTTCATGATGGTTCCAGCTAAGTGCCAAGCAGAAGAAAACACCTTTGACATGCTGAGTGACCTCCCCGCCCCCCCGAGTGGATTCCCGGCGACTCCGAACCGGACACCGAACCGTGGGGGGGGGAAGCCGACCTGGTCAGCGAGTTGGAGCCCGACCTGTGAGACCTGTGAGAGCCAGAACTCCAACGCATAGGTCGCATAGGAGAGTTGGACCTGCTGTAGATCGTTGGCTCCTTTTGAAAGACTTTCATTGTGGGAACACGCCACGGGCTAGCACATGTGGGTCCAGCACACCCACATGGGTGCACCAAACACCTTAGGGTTCCCACTTCAACTTCAAAAAAAACAAAAATCACCAGACTTTCCCCAAAAACAAGGCTAGCCAACCCACCTGCGACCTGGCTAGGTCTTTGTCCCAGCTGCGCTGAGAGCGGCAGTGTAATGGTGCAGCGGGCGACTAAATGGGGTTTGAACTTTGCCCTTTGTTGCTAGGGTATCACTATCAGTGAGGCTATCACTATGGTCAGTAGGGTGAAAGCACAACACCATTGCTGCGCCATATGATTTGCTTTCTCCATGTGCTACAGTATGTGACCGGGCGCACACACAGACTCTAAAGTGAAACCCTTTCCCCCTTAACATCCAACGTCTTCACGGAAACACTCGTGTCCACCTGTTTTCGAACATCTGGACGTCTAACCGATTTTGCTTCTTGGAAAAAGCACCAGGTTCTGCACTCCTCAAAGTCGCTTTTAGCGCTTTGGTCCGTCCGCGGGAACTCTGAGCGCTCCCAACTCTCTGTCCTGCTGGAGGATGGTCCGCGCTCCCAGCGACCAGTTTGGACTCCTGACAGACCAGTCTGGACAACCCCAGGCGTTCATCGACATGTGGTCCTTCGAGTCGTCCAGACGTTGGACATCGCAGTTTCTTAACAAACCTGGCTGACCCTGAATGCACATCAAAACACGCATTCCCCAGTTGGTGGAAAAAGGGGCAAAACAGCCAGCAGCGGCTCGATAAACATCGAAGGATTCAGAGTACGTGACTGATGTACCAGGCTCTTCGAAATGACATGTTGATCCACACAGCCGGGGGCAGATCAGCCGGCCGGTTGAAATGATCCGGAGAAACACCACGAAAGACAATACAGTAACACATCAGTTCATACGGTTCATATAGCACCCGCTTTGCTGGTCACCATGCCAGTTGTTCCTTCGTAGAAGAACACTTGAATGGCTTCTGGCCACCAAGCTCGGGAAAAAACACGCATTTGGCAGCACGGAATCTGCGTAATTAAGTAACCTCCCTCGGGCCCTGTGCGCTGCCCGTGCGTTCTGAGATGTTCTGGGATGTTCGACTCTGAAGTTGTACGAGTCTAGGGTCTGTCTGTGGCTTCCTGGAACCGACATGGAACTACTGTGATTAATGAACCCCTTCTTTAATCAAGCCCAACTTGAGCCTCAGCCGCCCCCAATACTAAAACCCGAATTTCCACCATGGACGTCGACCTTCTTCTGCATCATGTGGACGGTGTCCACGCGTTTCACGACACGGCCGGACACTGATCGGATCCATCACCCGCCTTGAAGGGTAGCACCATGAAGACTTGCCTGCACGTCACTCCGGAGACGGAGTGCCGGCTTTTGACGAACCTTTGCAGTAGATCCCTTCGAAGTAAACAAATCATAGGATTCTCCACAGCTCGACGTGCAGTGTAACTCTGAATGTCATATATAGAACCTTCCAGGGTGTCTGATGCTGTAGTAACTATAGTAGGCTACGGGATCTTCTGGCCAATTCCACCGAGCGAGGAGAGGCAGTCAGCTAGTCAGCCAGTCCTCCACCAATCACTGTTAGTTTATTCCTTCCACTTTCTACACATCTCTTACGCCAACGACTCATGACCAAGAACATTAGAACATTCCTTTTCATCCAACATTCCTTTCCCAAGAAGTTCGATGCATCCAAGGCTGCACCAGATCGATCCAAGGCTGCACCACATCATCCCTGGGATTGCTGATTCGATCCCTGAAGAAACGCTCGGACCCACCTGTGGGAATGCTGCAGTTGTACTTCGCCGGCCCAGGCCCACCATGTCCGCTTCGAGGATCCCGCTGCTTCTCCTGAAGCCGGACGGGCCACCACAAGCAAGCAACGACCACCAACAACACCCACCAACAAGAAACGAGGTGGTTTGTGCAAAACTCTCTCATCGCCATCTGCAAAGTGCAGCTAGGCTGAAGGCGAAACACGAAAACTAGCCGCAACTAAGTATGTCAAACTCGTGTCGTTGGCTACCTTTCAGAACATCCATCTACAGTACAGTAGAGCTCTACCGAGTCAAAATATCTCAAAATCCCCTTCCTTCGTCCCCCCAACCCATTCCTTCCTGTCTTCTCGTGATCTCAACGGAACACGTCCGACTCTCTGCCCGAGTCTGACCCCCCAGGGTCGACCCGGAAGTCGAGCCTCCATGGTCTCGAAGCGGGGCTTCATCTTGATGCCCGGCCGGATGTAATTCCTCTTCACCTCCGGTCGCACCGCCACCGTGTCTCGTTGTCTCGTGCGGATGGAGTTGATGGAGAAAGGATGGCCGTCACGTGCGACGCGTGGTAGCTTCAGCTAAAAATATGGAGGGAGAGAGAGAGAGAGAGAGACAAATACACAAATAAATCAAGAAAGAAGGAGAGGAGAGGGAATCCGGGAATTTCTAGAATCCAATATCATCTACAGATATCTACAGTGTCCTTGGCGATCCTTGGCATCTGTATCCCCACCAAATCTTGCAAAACGTACGCTCCCGGCTTCGCGGAGGGTCATCCGCCTTGGCGACCTGTGAGGAGTAGTCGCCGTAGGTGTTGGGCCCAACATCCGCATCTTCAAGCCGTCCATAGTTGGGACCTGGCGCCAGACCCAAACCAATGTGAGGGTTGGGTTTGTGTTTGTGTTCTTTTGTTGAAGAGCTGAGACAACCAATAGTTGAATTTCTATATTATATATATATATACCATAAACAATTTGGACCCAACATAAGTTCCATATGTTGTTTCATGTTTTATTACAAGCACAGTGGTTTTTTAAGCGCCAACAAAGCCAGAATGACTGATAAGTTATATAGATAAGGATATCCAAGGACAATTTGATGTGCCATAATGTTCGTATGACACCTTATTCCAATCATTGAGAACCACTATGAACCACTACTGTCTGGGGCCCAACTTGGGTCTTGTACACCACCAAGGGCTATCTACAGTCGTGTGGGTTTCATTCTTCCATATTCTTCCCAACACTGCCAGATCTGGCCATTTCTGGCCCATCGCGCATCAGGACCTGTTAACTGTTGGGGACAAGCAAGTCGTCGTAGATTTGATCTACAAAAAACACACCTAAGGCTCTCAGTGAATCATATAGTTTCTCTGCTGCTGGGGGTCTACTGTGGCTGGAACCATGTTCACCGTGAAAAAGCCCGTTGATTTGCTTCCATTTGCTTCCGTGGCGCTGCAAATCCAGCGTGGCTCCGTCCCACGTCCTGGACCCCACTTCCTTTTTTCGGCGAAACACTCGACAGTGGTGTCAAAGGTGGCACAAGGGCCCCTAAGGTGGGTGGTTTCTATGGACCCCCCCTAGAAAGTATAAACATCATCTTGCGTCGCCAGCATCGTTGCCAGTGCTATCTATCTCCTCTGACAACTACTCTGTCCACCCCAACCGCCCCCCCCGGGTCCGGCTCGGCCGCCGACGCTCGCCAATGCCGAAGGAATTCGCTTGGCCCAGCTCCCATTTGCGTCGCCAGAAGGCGCCTCGGTCGGGCGGAGCGACGAAGGGGCGGCCCAGTTTTGGGGCGGCCGGGTCCAGGTCGGTCCGAGACGAGGGGGGGTCCAATTGAAGGTTCAGTTCACCGTGAACTGGCTTTTTTAACACTTGAACATGTGTGTGTGTGTGACACAGATGGGTTTTGCAAGTGTTTGGCCTGGCCTATATATATCGTATAATTGTAATCCCCAGTTGTAGCTCCCAGAGAGGGTTGGCTACCCAAAATCTTCTGGGTAGCCAACCTCTAAGTAGAGTTATTTGGGGGGATGCCAACGTTGGTAGGTAGGCTTGGTGCAGGTGGAGGTTAGGTACCTCAGCCTGAGGAAAAAGCCAACCCTTGAAGGTTGGCTACCTGAAATAGTGATTGATGTGATTGGCTACCTGAAAAAGTGAGTTCAGTAAACCGTCAATCGTTGAAGGAAGTGCCAGTTATATTGCTTATAATGATTATAGTGCATATACTCTCTATAGTATACTGTCTACCAGATTCCCAACAAAAGTGAGAACCAACCCTAGAATCAGATTCAAACTTTTCAGACTGCAATGCCTTTGATTTTATCTTCATTTCTCCACCCTTACCTACCACCACAT